ATTTCCATGCTTCACTGCAATGCTCGCTTAGTCGCACTTTTAAGATATCTGGCGGCGCAAGTGTATCACCTCATAGAACACCCAGAGAATTAAAACGGTAAGTGCAATTTATACAAAATTTTACCTGTATACTCCTTTAGGCCTAGATAGACTGCATACAAATTTTTTTGTTGAAATTCTGACTTTAAAGTATAGTGCACCACAAAGGATTAATATACATACTTTGCACCTGTCAGAATAACAAAGGATGAATCATTTTGCTAGTAAGGAGAAATCCTATATCAAGAATAATTGGGACCATAATTTGTATGGATGTTTAAAAAGTTTGGTAATTAGGTTGCCTTTTTCTCTATAAGCTGTATACTTTACGATATTGCGAGTGAAGTAATTTTTCTATTTATCATATTGTACTTCAACAAAGATTATGCAATTAATAAAAATTATTTATGTGTTACTTTACATTACTAAATATACTTTCTGTGATAAAATTAAATAGTAAATACATATTTTTGCTAGAGGGATTCCCCCCTCCCTCAGACTGATTACAGTATCTCTTTCATCATCTGAAATATGTTTCATTCTTTTCCTTTATTTTTATCAGAAGGGAATTGAAAAATGTAAATAATTACAATAACAACATGTATAAATACTATATGTGACACATTGTCCAAACAGCAAACATTTTATAAACATTTTTGTTCTTATTTGGAAGCACCAAAATTATATTAAAAGGCAAGCTCTCTTTCCCTACTGCACTGATAAAGCATATATATTATTACAGTTTCAAAAATATAAATTTGGAAAAGTTGCTACAATTGATAGATTTAAGAAGCAAAACAAAAATTATAAAAGAAGGCATAAAAGTGAAATATAAATACTTTGGTTATCAACACATAATAACTTAAAACAAAAGGTGGCAAAAACTGATGAAATTTAATCTTTGAAAAATTAGGTGAGAATAAAAGAAATTCTAAAAATCATGCAACTCATTATAGAAAACTGCCTCAAACTGTAACTGTTTTAGCACAGTGCAAAGCAGTAGACCCTTTACATGATAATAAATGCACTGATAATGGATTGAATGTATATAAAACATGAACTACAGTAAAATATATATATATAACTTATTAATGGATTACTTAGTATATTATCTCTTTTGATAAAGGTGGTTAGAATTCAATTGAAATTGAGTAACTTATAAGCAGATTTATATGTATAAGTAATAAAAACACAAAAAGACATAGTAAATGTTGATGGCATACTGAAGAGGAATAATTCTGATTGCATAGAATGCTAATCCATAAGGAATAGGAAACTTGGCAGTCAAGGTAGATTAAATTCCATTTTTATTTAAATTCATATTTGTGGTCACAGTTTACTTAACACTCCAATCATGCTTATTCAAGAACATTTACATTTTTTAATACCGTAGCAATAAGAAGAGAGTACAGTGAAAAAGCATTCAAGCAGCACAGAGGTTCAAGCTAAAAATGTGCATATATCCAATACAGAAGATCGCCAAGAGGAAGGTTTTGGTTTAGGTCAGAAGGGTTTAAATTCTCCAAATTTTGAGTTTAGGTTTCGAATTATCCACGTCATCAACGTTGTGCAGGCCATGCAAGATGGATTGATCTAAAAATGATGCAATCCAGAGAAGTAATTACAATTTTTAGAATACAGAGAGAGAATTAAGGGACCTTTAGTTCAAATTATAATTTTGATTTACAATTTTTTTTATTTTGCATATTAGTCCCCCCTTCAAAGAGAAAAAGGCTTAGTGAGAAAAATGCCTTTTGAGAAGAAAGCATTAGTGTGTTAGTGAAGCAAGAGAAAGTGTACAAGTCATGAATAGGCATCAAGGACAGCCTGTAGGTTTCACCATCCCCCATCATTATTCATGAGTTCTCTCATATGTAAATTAGAAAGTACTTAAAAATGTAATTTAAATATATTGTAACAAAATATAATTTCTAAATAAAAGGAAATGGCAATAAACTGACAAAAACATAATACTGAAAGTTCTTAAGCTTTGTTATTAAAATGTCCAATGAAAAGTTTTTTGAAGTTTTTAATGAAGTAGTTCCAAAGAGTTCTTGATCATTATGAAAATTTTAATTAAAAGACAAACAGTTTGTGAGCAGTTGAATAAATTCTTATTTTACAATGCAATAGAATAGAATAACTTTGGTGGGAAAGACCTCTAACAATTAAAATCAGCGTACCAACTTGCTGATGGTTGGAGGATGCTTAAGTACAATAAATCAAAAAACCTCCATTCCCTAAAAAGGTAACTAGTTTTTAGCATTGTACAATTATGAAACGTTTGCTAAATTGTTTCATATTAATTAATTTAAATGCAAAAATACAAAATTAAGATTAAAGTTTAAGAAAAATAACTCATATACTGCATTTGACGGCATATAAGACGCACTTTTTCCCTAAATTTGGTCTCAAAAAAGTTACCTGCGTCCTTATACGTGAAGGACACAGGTTAACTTTCAATACTGAATGCTATTTTTAGCCTGGATAAAGGTCTAGATACACATAACTTTTTCTACATCTGCCATAATTTTTTGCGTAAATAAGGGTGCGTCTTATATGCCGTCAAATATGGTAATCAAGTTAAGTCTTTTAAATTTAGCAAAACAGAATTGGACATTACCCTATAATAAAAAAATATATATTTTTTTTTAATTTGTGTGAAATGTATGTGTGTGGTAGCACTTTTGTGCTAAGTTATGGCCAGAGGATTGTGACTGATAAACAAATATAAAAAGCAAGTCAGTTTTGTAACCATACCTGAATCTCTTAACAAAATAAAAATGAAACTTTTGGGGTGTTAGGAGTGTTCCTAGGGTGACAGCGGGCGTGGGCTATCACTGCTTCTATCATCTCTAAGGAGAGGATGCAAGGAGCAATACACATAGTGTAAAAACTCGGGTCAGATAAAAATTTCAAATATGTCTTTGGTATTAAATCCAGTTTTTTCCAAATATGGTGGTAGAGCTTTTCTTCTCTTCATCTCTGGGCTATGGGAAGCATACACAACAAATTTTGAAAGGAAAACTCTGGGAAGAAGAAAAGGCAAGATAGGAAAGGAACCAGTCTGGGAAAGGTCAAAATAAGGAAAATAAATTGTCATAATTAGATTTTAAAGACTTCATCAGGTTAAAAAAGTCATAATCAGGTAAGAAATTTTGACACATAATTTGGAAAACTAAAACAAATTAATTTTGTACAAAACAGTACTATTTGTAACAGTTAATTTAAATTCGCTAGCTGGGTTAAAAGGTATGAGTCTGGTTGAGTAGACAATTTCTGATTTCTTGTTAGTAGGATGATTAGGCTTATCTATTTCAAAAGTAAGTTCGGAATATTGTTTTAAAATTTTGCAAGGGCCCGAAAAAGGAGGGAAAAGTTTATGAGTATTAGGATATTGGAATTCTTAATACATTTACTAAATCACCTATTTTAAAATCTCTAGGTTTATAATGGGTGTCATATCTATCTTTATTTATATTGTGATAATCATCAGACATTTTTACATTGTGATAATCACCAGACCTTTTTAGGCAATTTTTCTAGCTTCTTCAATTGGTGGGTGCATTTCTGGGTTTTCAATTAAAGAATCATAAGGTAATTTATCATACATTAAATAAGATGGTGGGAATTTTGTTACAGTATGTGGTGTATTATTATATTCTTGGCTAAACTGAGGTAATAATTTAGTCCATGCATATTGTCTTGATAAGAATTTAGTTTATATTTTAATCTAGTTAGAATAGGTTGATTTACTCTTTCCACTTTACCACATAAAGTTTGAGGTCTATTAGCAGAAGTTAATAATTGTTCTACATTGTTTCTCAAAAATGTTTGAATTTTGAAGAAGCAGCATTTCTATCACTTAAAATTTTCTTTGATACCTGAATTTGAAAAATTTGTCTTGAACAATTTATATATATATCAGTAGTTATACTTTTAGAGGCAAATGTCCATATATAATGTGTAGCATGATCAATAATTATGTGAATATACTTGTTAGTAGAATGATAGCATGTTTTTAAAGAAAGTTTTTCACTACCGTAAATATCATCTATGCAAACAGTTTGCGTTGCCGTGTTTAATCATATGCGATTTTTGGCATTTGAAAGAAAGAGACTTGCATTAAGCACAAGGTGTCTGAAAGAGAACTATTATGTTACCAGATTAGAACCATCATTTACTTCCAGTTCTGTTGCAAAAACTCTGCTACAGAATATTACCAAATCATGTGTACGGTGCAAAAAGGTAATGTTCCATCAAGATAATGCAAGACCACAAATGTCTGCATTCATGGGTTGGACTCTGTACAGACTCGAATGGAATCTTTTGCCACACCCGTCATGTAGCACTGACATTGCTCCTTAGGAATTCTACCTTTTTTCGCATCAGCAGGTACATCTTGCTAGAGATATCCTGCATTCTGTGCAAGATATCCAAAATAAGGTTCATCTGCTTTCAAACTTGCAGCGACTAAATTTCTGGGCCTTTGGTCTAGAAAAACTCCCAAAACCTTGGCAGAAAATCATAGATTTGGGTGGTGATTACTACCTGCACTAAGGTTACTGCTTTCATGTGTTGTTTTTTTTTTCTAACTTTATTAAAAAATTTTAATAAAAGTCCAAAAGATACATCCACAAGTGATTATAATACTCTGCATATTTATAAAGATTGCACACTACAGGAATAAAAATTAAATAATTCCTTCACCTTAAAAAAATGAAAATGTATTGATTGTGACAAATAAAATTTTACTTGCACATTTTAAAAAATTGTTTCGCTGACTATTCTTTATTACATACAAGTATAACTTCCCTTTTTATTTTTTTATAGTTAGGATTTTGTCAGTATTAACAATATGATGAAAATATGTGACATTCATAAGTAATTGCACAGCCAATAAATAAACTATAAAAAATAGAAAAAGCATCAATGGAATGAAATATTTAATATATATTTACCTTACTTCTGCACTGATGATGTTTACGAAACTGTTCTTCAAATGCATCTGTCCATATTGGATGAAAAACCTCAGATTTCTCCCAAAATGGCTCATTAAACTCTAAAAAGATTTTATCTACTACATCAAAACCAATACAATTAATTGCTTTTCGCTTTTTTTCACTTAATGATGGATTAAAGATATTAGATTCATACCTCCTTAAATAACCTACTGGTATAGTTACAATAACATGATCAGCCAAATAAACTTGACCATCCTTACAAAACACTTTTATATACTTATTTCTCCCTAAACTACAACAACAACAAGATTTCATTTCAGTATCTTTATCCTTATCATTATTTTTAGAAATCTTCAAGTCAGTCCAGTCAATCCTGACAACTAATGTGTCCTTCTTTATCCAGTCAGATGGAATTTTCTTCAAAAATAAGTTCAGTATACTAGAGAAACCAGATCTTAATTCAACAGTTTGAAAACCATCACACTCCTTATAACAGTTCAACAGCTTTGCAGATAATAAAGATAAATTCTGACATCCATTTAATTCACACAATAATTTGCAATACCAATCATAAATGCCATTTAAATATGGGGGACAACAACTGTACCGAGATTTAAACTCTGAGAATTGTATATTAAGATAATCTAAGACAGAAGAATCAGAATCAAGATTGCTAGATAGATTATTAACCTTTTCCTCAAGGAACTCAATTAATTTGTGAATAGTTTCAGTATCTTCTCGCTCGAAATCTTTAAAATTTAGAATAGCTTCAACATAATTAACAGCTGTTTCATCCACAAGTCTATTGGAATAAGCAAATTCATAAATTATATTATCTTTTTGTCCATGAATCCACTGGGCTCCTTCTTCCACAAAATATGAACCTACAAAATAATTCTTAATATAGGAAGAGTAATTACAACAATGATGTAAAATAATATAGTTTCAGAAACAAATTAAAAAGATAATAATACAAAAGTGACTGAACCAGTAGCAAGTTATGATTTTCACTGAAAAGACTTAGGTATAAATTTTAATCTTCTCTATGGCAAATGGCCACTGGGGATAGTCGTCTCAGAGATCCTGGTCACTTTCAGATGTGGTCAGCTTAACTGCTTCCCTTACAAATTTTTTTGAAAAAAATTGCAAAAAATCATCACTTTTTTATTATTAAATACAAGAAAATGAAACAAAACAAAATCTGTAGGTTTTAAGTTGATTTGTTAAAAGTATATTTACGGTACCCCTTGGTAAAACTTGGCGATTTTTGGCGGTACATGTATACTGAGTTTGTGCAATTCTTTGACTTGTTATTTTGGCTTGCGTAGCCGTGATTTTTACATGAAAAATCACCGCTACACAAAGCCAAAATAATAAGACAAATAGTTGGATTTTAGCAGAGCCCACACCCTTGACGCGCCCACTTATATGCCGTGTATCAATGTGTACATGGACAAAGTCAAGGGAGTGTGCAATGGCAAGTCTGGGGTGTTTTTTAAAGTGAAAATAGGTCAATGTGTACATGGATACCGAGTTTGTGCAATTTTTTGACTTGTTATTTTCAAGTTGGCGATTTTGAGAAACATGCAAAGCAGTGGGTGATTCTGCACTTTTCCAGTATGTTGCCATGGGTGTGGGCTGTCCTAGGATTTTACCAGACAAAGATTTGCACAAACTCGGTATCCATGTACACATCGACTTATTTTCACTTGAAAAAGGAAATATCCACTTACCTTGTTTACGAATTCACACGTCTTCAGTCAAACAAAATTCCTAAACAGCACACAAAAATTTCCTAAAATTATCTGAACCAGAAGCTGTATACTGGCATCGCTACATAAATTCACAAAATAAGAGTCAAAAATAACTCCATAATGACTCCATAAAAATACTCCATAATGACGTTCAACCACACGCATTTTCTTCCTACAAACAGAACACCTAATAATGGCTACTGAGTAAACCTTCATTTACACACCAGTCAAGTAATGTTCTTTTCCCCTTTCTTTCCAAATTGTACAGAAACTTCAAATTAATTTTACGACATTTGGCCATTTTACCATCTAAACCACGAAACAAGCAATATACTTCCTAACCAACATACACATGCCACAAGCCCTTACGAATTTACTGCAATGATGCAACCGATTATGTCATAACAGGGTTTCCGTGACATTCAACTACTCAGGCAACCATAAATGAAACAACTTGGAGACAAATGAAACCACAACTTTGCAATAATACAAGGGGTACCCTGAAGTTAACTCTAACCATTGAATTTTTAATATTTTACAGGTGTAAAATCATTTAGTTTTAATATTAGTTTACTATCCCGAGTTATCTCGGCAAATGAAAAAAATTTTAAATATTACTCTTTGTATGATAGTTTTTGAAATAAGGGACAACACAAAGTGACCTGACATTCTGTACACTGGTATCTAGTCTTTTTTCTTATTGGCTTACCTCTGGAATCTCTTTTACGGGAGCACGGAGTACATTGTCTCGTTAGATTGATTTTTTTTTTTCAGTAACAGGAATAACATCTGGAAAATGTCCACCTTTTCATAATCACTATCCGAAAACTCATCGCTTTCACTATCTTGCGTCATCGCCATTATTTTACTTTTTTCAACGCAACTATCCTTCTTTATACATTACTAATCCACAAGTCAACGTATACTATACAATAGGGAAAACACATGACCAGTTCTGCCAAAAGAACAATAAAACTTGGCAAACTGCCAATCAAAGCTGAATATTTCCTTTTATTTCCTTCAGGCCGAGTAAAACCGTGATAAAACAAATCATACTGACAAATTCTGCTTCACCCAAGTTTTCTTGGGATAATAATTAACTACTATATATACGAACCCGAGATAACTCGGGATAATCAGGCAAGCGGTTAAGAAGGTGGTCATCATGGCAAGTTTACTGTATTTTGAATATAAAGACTACTAAACAGAATAATGGATAATGTGCTCTGATAAATTTACGAAAATTGAATTAAGAGGGAAAATCAAAATGATCATGTCATAATAAAAACATTCTTTCAATCTGATAAAACACATAACACTGAAATAATCAATTAAAAATATTTTTATCTCAAAAAGAAAATAAGACCAGTAAGGAGATATTGGCATATTGTTAATCATTTTGAAACTTCACCAATATTCCACTTTGTAACAATGGCATATTTGTAAAAATGAGAACATTTGTCATAGCTCTACCTTTTGTAATTATTTTTTTTTCTTTTAAAAACATACTATCGCAAAAACACTGTAGATAAGCAATTAAGACCACAGTGTTATGATAATGAAAGTTGATTAGTGAGTGCATTGTCATGAAATGACTTTAAATGTTGCTTGCACATGCTCCATAGTGATTCTTTTTATGGGAATTAGCTTTTCGTACTGCTTACTTCTCTGCAGTTTAAACTTAGAGTTATCACATCAAAGTATTTTATTTCCAGCTTCTTCATGTATCACAAGAATGCTTTCAGCTATCACGTCAATATATTTTACTTTAAACTTTCTCACATATCACATGAATGCTTTCATGAAGAAGAACTAAAATGTAGTACTAATAGTTATACCAATTTTGTTCCTAATGATGTCATGAGAAAATTAAAATTTCTTGCAACTTACTGTCAATAGTTAACAGCACAGGTAAGCCAGTCTTGAGAACAAGTGAAAAGCAACTAGTCCTTCCTCTCGTAGAACTGAAGCAACTTGACTCCTCCCATTCATGTAAAAACCCACTACGTTTGAATGACATACAGTTTCAAAACAGGTAAAATGATATTCCTTTTAATGTTTGGAATGGCAGGAAAAAAATATATTTAAAAGCATTAATGTTTAAAATGTTAGTGCATTAGCCTAGTCCCTCTAAGTCCAATGACAACATACAGCTAGACTGAACTAACTGTAATATTACAAGAAAAACTGCTTCACATTTATTGTAAAGAACAGTTAAACAATACATTGAAAGAGCTTAGAGAACAGAAATAAATTAAGTAATATTTCAAATACTTAACTAACATATGCCTTACTTAGTAACATATACTAACTAAATATATACTTATGAACATAACATCTAACTTGCTAACATATACTTACTAACACATGCATTCTTCAAATACTCATTAATTAACATAATTCACAAATCTTTAAAAAGTTAGTGTACTTTACAATATTTTTAGAAAACTTGTTTCATAACATAAATTTTTATTTTTTATTGAATTGATAAACATTAAAACTGAACCACACCTTGTAAAATATTACTACTGAACACTACAATTAAATCAGTAAAAATTCTCCTTTCTTACATATTTCAATATTCTCATTCTCAAAAGCAAGTCTAAGGCAGTAAACATCTTTTATTACATAAAAGTCTGAGCCAGTAAATACCTTTTATTGCGAGTTAGTGCAATTTAATAACTAACAACAGGTATTTCAGTTTAACTAATTGTGCATCTGTGCCTGTGCATACTGGTGTGGTTTACAAATGACAAGGCAAGATGTTCATTCCAAAGTAACTGCACTATAAAAATTGCATACAAAAATGCTTATGTATTTTAGATTAAGCTTCAAAAGAATCAAAATAAGTGATAAAAAATATGAAGAAATATAGGTTGATATTCTTCATTTTTAGAAATATTTTAAAATACTTTTATAGTATTTATAGAGTTCTACAGCTACTTATCTAAAAAAAAAAAATACATTTACAGTTTCACAAAAAATAAAATTCTTCAGGCTCTTTAAGGATCATTGGTACTCTTCTGTTATCAGGACTGAATTAAAAAATGTATGCATGTGTACATATACAAACACATACATATGTATATTACATGCATAAAATGAACACATATTTTCACACATATACACATTTCTGAATCTGATCCTGAAAACAGAAGAGTACTGAATCATTTATAAAAAGAAGTTGAATAAAAAAATTATAAATATATACACGTCTCAAATATCTAAAAACAAGGAACAGATAATTTTTTAAAAAATTCGTTCACATACCAAAATCAATAGTGTGAATTCTCCCACCAATTCTTGATCTAGCTTCTAACACAGATACAGAAGAAAACCCTAGTTCTTTTAATCTGTATGCACAAGAAATTCCGGCCATACCAGCTCCAATAATAATAATTTTTTTTTTAAAGTATGTTTCACGGCACTCCACACACTGCATACTTGAATAAAAATAAGGAAATGAGGAAAAATTATCAGTCAGTTAAAAAAAATAAATAAATTACAATATTATTATGCAAAATTTTTCAGTTAATTTCTTTTGCAACATTGAAGTAATTAATGCAATATTTAAACTGAAACAAACTATGAAGTCAATGATACAAATGAAATTTTAATTTCAATTTTTAATCTGATATTTTTTCTCTTTGCAAAAAAAAAAATAATAATAATGAATAACACAATATAAAACTACAGCTTTAGATAAAAAGAGTACAATTCCATTCAGATATACTTATTAAGTTCATACATTCTCTCTTTTCACTTAATTAAATTTAACATATACATTGTTTTATAACAATTAAACATAAACTCTAATTCTGTTATAACATTTCTAATTTGAATGATATTTTAAATAAGTAGCAATAACAAAAAATTTTCAAAGCTCCCCTTTCCTAGTCCTTCAGCATGAAATGTCACAATAATACAGCAGCGTGACTGCAGTAAAAAGTATGCTGGCACTTTCTAAATTGCCGTGAATTTATTAAAATAACTATCATTAATAAAATAGTTACAGATGTACTACAGTTACAATTTAAACAGAATAAAAAATAACATTCTAAGATAAACAGCAAACTTATATTATATTTATACCTTTCTTAGAAAAGTATTTATTTTACTTCAAAGTTTTGGGTTCAAAACACACAAGATGTTTAAAAAAGGGCACCTAATGTATTTTCCAATTGACCATGAAATTGTAACCAAACAGCACCACAAGTCTGGTGGCAGTTGTCTCACCGAACTTACGCAAGTTCATTTTCCTTATGCAGTGATTGTTTCATTCGCTGACAATGGTCAACAGGAAAACACATGAGTACCAAATAAAGTGACTATAAGCTTTATTTTTTTAAATATTAATACTAAATGCACACTTTTCACCGCAAAATTTCTTTATAAAAATATTTAAATCTCAGCAATGTGCATGATAAAGGTTCTATAAAAATAAAATATAATTTTATATGATCCCCATACAGTAAAAATTCATTGTGCTTTTTCTTAATTATAAAGCTTTATAACTTTATGTTCAAAACTCAGAGATATTTGACAACAAATGAATAAAATTATGTCATATTTTGATGCTTACAACTTGCTTAAAGCATTTGTGAAAAAATTAAGGGAGCAGCTACAAAGCGAAAGTTGCTTGTTTGAGATTTTCATGCTTATGCTTAAAGTTTAAAATTCATGTGTTCAAAATATTTTAAGTTGTAAATGAAAGAAGTAATAACTTCATTATAAATATATCTTACATAACACTGTAATTAATTTATAAGACAAACAACAAGAATCAGCGTTATATTTTCAAATTTTCACAGGACTAGTTTCGATGGTTTTACCGAACCATCATCCTCAGCTGCAAAAGCGCAAAATGAACGAGATAAGATACAGTGATTACATAAGATACAGTAATTAGATAAGATACAGTGATTAGATAAGATAACATGGACAGGAGTCAAGCTACTGGCACCATCTGTTGATGAAACCAGAACTAAAACATAATTTCTTTAAAGGCTAATGGCAAAGATGGATTGTAATTAGGGTCGTTAACTAGAACAGAAAGATTTTTTTGAATGTGAAATGCCTCTAGAAAATCCAGTTCTCCAATGGAAGATGTATTTTGAATAATTTTGGCAACAGAAAAATTCTGTGTTTCCTTTTTTCTAACATATGCACATGTTCCTTGACACGAAATTTTAAGGCTCTCTTAGTTTGGCCAATGTAAATTAAACCACACTGGCAAGGAATCCTATAAATACCCCAGGAATTCATATCCGGAATGGGGTCCCTTGAGTATAGAAGTTGGAATTTTATTGATGGGAGAGTAAACACCCGAAAGTTAAATTTCTGCAAAATATGTGCAACTTTATAGCTAATTGATGGAAAGAAGGGAATGACAACAAAATTTTTATAATCTCCTAAAATAAGAGTGTGGCTTTTAGTGTGTTGAGATGAGAATTCTTTAACTGCTTGATTAATAATGTTGGGTGAAAAGCCCCTGTCAATAGCTATTGCTTCTAAATAATTTAGTTCTTCATCAAGGGATAGTTTGGAGGAGCAAACTTGAAGAGCACGGAAAACATAGGAATAAAATGAAGCTAACTTTTGTTAATCAGATGACATGATTTAAAATGTGGTGGAAGGCAAACCGATGAAGGTTTACGGTAAACTGTAGTACTGAAGTTGGATGTGTTACGTGTTTCTAGAGGCATTTCACATTCAAAAAAATCTTTCTGTTCTAGTTAACGACCCTAATTCCAATCCATCTTTGCCGTGAGCCTTTAAGAAAATATGTTTTAGTTCTGGTTTCTTCAGATGGTGCCACAGCTTGACTCCTGTCGATGTTATCTTATCTGATGACTATATCTTATCTTGTTCATTTGCACTTTTGCAGCTGAGGATGATGGTTCGGTAAAACCATCGAAACTAGTCCTGTGAAAATTTGAAAATATAACGCTGATATTTGCTGTTTGACTTCTAAATTAATACTTGTCCGGCGTGTTATTATATCGTAATTGTAACATTGTGACTTAATTCCTTTTAATTTACAAGGATACAAAGTCAAGATAAAAAAATCGGCTTGGAATTTAAAAGAATTATTTACTTGGATTAAAAGCAAAAATTCTATAACTACTGAAACACAACATTTCAAAGAAATATATGATAATAAGTAGCTGTGTAACAACCAATATATATATATTGTATACATCGGGATATATTGCCATATATATATTTGTATGCATCGGGATAGTGCGTTCCCATTTTTCTCTTTTAATTATGGAAATTTATGGTACTACCTTATAAGCTACTTTTTTTTAATAACAATACTTTTAAAGTTCTTACAGAAGATGACAAGAAAAATAATTTAATATTTGTAGATAAAAACAACTTGTATATGTATTCAGCAAATTTATCTACATTCAGACAGAGAAGATAATAAAATTATGTGGAAAATGTAACTTCACAATTATTCATTAAAAAATGTTCTTCACTTCAATATCCTTACATCAATTGACATATTTCGTAGAGACAAAGAGCTGTTTCCCAGTAAAAAGCTAAATGCTTATCATTGGACTAATCATTAGTCTACAATAATTTAGTAATCCTAATCATAACATTTTTACATATTTTAAATGCAAGTTATTTGCCTCTGGAGGGGGTATCTTTGAGGAGGACCTTTTTACGAAAACCAAGCCTGCATTTACTTTATGCATGGAAGGGGGAAGGGAACAAGAAAACTTCATGCAGGCTGGCTCCTCAGCTGTCGAGAACTAAAATCAAAATAAGCTACAGTTTTCTTTTAAATGGAAGAACAAAATAACTTCCACGGGAAGCAAGTAACATTCATAAAAAACTGAAGTTCACTTAGTGACAAATTGAGAGGAGGAATATCATTACACGTTATGTCTTACAACATCATGAATTCAGCTAGAAAATTAATGAAATAAATGTTTCAAAAAAAAGTTTAAAGTTCAAAAAAGTTAATTAATAGTTTGCCATTAACAAAAATTTTATTCCACCCTTTCTTTTAAAAGAGTAGGTAACTTAACAAATTAAATTTTCTGAATAACCTTCTTTTATAAAACTATTACCATGACAAACAAAAAGTTTCTTCTGTGTTTTTAATGTTATTTAAATAGTCAACTTATTTAAAACTTTACTAGCAAGATAGAACTAATGCTATTTCACCAAGTTTAAAAGTCCTACTTTTTCAAGTATTCTTTTACTGTATTTATACATATAATATTTATCTTGACAGAAAAATCTGCTAAAGATGTTTTAAAGGAAGAGAATGCATTATCCATGTTATCTCATTGGAAAAGTTTAATATATGCAAGTGATTACAAAATCAAACCAAAAGAATAATTTATTACATGAAAAATTTCAAATGAATGAAACTTCTAGTACCTAACTGGCTAGCTCTAGCCTGAATACAATATGTGATGGTGTCAGGTATCGAGGCATAAGAGTCATGTATGGTGTCCTGAATCACCTCATTCCACAGTTGCTGTAAGCTGCAGTTCAATCAAACTCCTAGGCTATCTAGCTTGCTATTCTAAGTGATCTCAGACATGCTCAAGCATCCCAAAGAAAACAGTTAATGTAATACAGCATTTCTGTGACATTCTTGCCGAGTGTGGATGAGCAATGTCTCATTGTAAGACACCTTCTGGAAACCCTGCCATGAGTAGCAAGATGTTTCTAAAAAACATCCCGAACTGGGCTGTCATGGTGCTGTGAATCCATATTAAAGGTGTTCATGTATTGTTGTATTAATGCATGGTTGTTAAACCGAATTTTGATTCATCGCTGAAGACAAACGGGTTTCATTTGGTTAATTCCAAATCCATAGACTGTGATATCACTCTGAAAGGAGGTGATGATGGGTGGATGTCACTGGCAGCATACATAATGGGCACTGCAATACCAAATGTCTTTCAACAAGGTACTTTGCAATAATACAAGTAGACCCAAAGGCACCTACTGAAAATGCTACCCTGTGTCCAGATAACAGGCGATGATGCAGTTGGCACTGTGTAAGACTATTGAGTGATATGATGGTTTCCTCAGCTATTGGTCTGCTGAGGGTATCCTGGCCATTGTGTCCATGGCCTCTCTGATCATCTGGTACCAAAACCTTATCACAGCAAAATCAGACAGCCTAGGTAGTGGGCTGAACACCTGGTTTCAATTATCCTGATGACTCTTTCCCTTTCAAACTCTAACAGCTGATCATATTGTATCTAACTGATAAAAAGTAATGGCATGCTTAGTGAAAAATTGTCCGTTTGCAATAGATTAAGTATAAGCAAAATGCCTTAAAGTACATTTTTTAGCATATGTGAGAACAAAGTTGATGGAATAATGAAATGTGAAATCACACTGCAGTTTTAATTATTTGCATATCTGCCCAAAATGTATTTTGGAAGTCAAATTATAATAACACTTCTATGCCAAGTTTCATTACAATCTAGCAAATAATCCTTGATATGCAAACTTTTGTGGCAAAGAGTACTTTTGAGTCTGTGAAACTCAAAATAAAGATAAGGTTTAAAGTCTTCCAAAAATGAATAAACAGAAAGAGATCACAGATCTTTCTCTCAATTATATAATATTGAAAATGCATGTAAAAGTATGCAGTTCAATATTCTAATCCTAGCACAGTATGTATTAGTGATGCTTCAAAAACTATATTTTAAATATGTTGGAAAACCAGTGTTATTTTAATAAAGTTATTATAATATGTATATACAATATGTGGCTTAGTGTCTACCAAATTCCTTTATTGTATGCTTTTATTAGGCATTTGTAATTTTTTACATAACTTTAAAAAAAAATTATTAATATCTGCAATTTTTTATCTACAGAGTATGGTTTATCACCTTCTAACAGCATAAATTAATCAAATAATCTATATAAAAAAAAAAAAAATCAGAAATATCCAAAAAAAAATTGATATACATCACCTATAATGAAAATTGACAAGAGTTATCCTTCTAAAAACTACATGCTGATATTAAAGTTAAATGGTGTTAGCTTTAATATTGGCATGTTGTTATCCATAAGATTAAACATTCTTGGTTGAAATATTGCTGCTCAAGAAGGAATAGTCATTATAAGCAGCGCTATGGATTAGGAGTTGGAATCGGGCAGATTTTGGGGCAAAAGGAGTCGGAGCTGGAGTCATTAAAAACAGGTTGACTCCGATTCCAGTTTTTGTTGGACAGTTTGAATTTGAAATGAAATTTAAATTAATTGAAAAAATTAATGACAAGCTGAGTTATTATTTTTATTTATGAACTATATACATTAATAAATAGTTATTTTCTATTTTATTGATATATTAATAAATAAATATAAGGGAGTAGGATGGATGTAATATTTGTCATTAGTGATTAAACTGATTCATTTAGTTCTCTCTCACCATGATTCCCCTCATTTTTTGTTTCCACTCACTCATATCCTCATTCAGTTTTGCCCTCTTTTTATCATTATCTTAATTTTCATCAGCTATATTTTAAGTACATTTAATTTTTGTGATAATAAAAGAACTCCCCCCCCCCCTGCGATCAGAACTTAAACTGCGCCGGAGCCCACCAGATCCTGGCTCCGATGCTTCTTAGTTTTTGTAATAAATCATAATTCTAGCCAGAGCGCACCGGAGCCCTAAATAAGAAGTTTGTGGCACTTTTTTTACAGTGTCTCACAAAAGTGATGGGACACTTGTGCTTTACAAAAGGAAACTGCAATAAAATAAATTTAAAAAACATGTAAAATTTTTTGTGGCTGTTTTTCATACTTAAATTTAGTAACAATTATTACATAACATACATTTTCTCAAAATATTAAAATATTAATTTAATAGAAAATACAATTGTTTAGAACGGAGCAAGAAAATGGCTCACTTAAGTGATTGGATACTCACGTAAGTGATGGGGCATTTACTTTTCCATCAAACATTTATCCAAAAAATTTTACTTTTTAAAAGGTTTTAATATTTTGTTGGATTTCCTTTTACTTTTAAAACATGAATTTAATCTTCTTGGGATGGATTCGACTGACTCATTTTTTGTGATTTCTGGAGTGATTTCACCCCATTCTTCTTGAAGCACCGATTTTAATTGTTGTTTTGAAGAAATGGTGTGTTTGCGAATTCTTGATTCCAATTCTTGCCAAATATTCTCTATGGGATTTAATTGTGGAGATTGTGGGTGTGTTTTTATTATTTCAGGACAGTTATACAGCAGCCAGAGTCTAATGTTCAAAGCACTGTGCTTGGGGGTCATTGTCCTGGTAGAATTTAAAATCGTTATGAAGGTTCAATTTTCGTGCTGAAGATTTCAAATTTTGATTTAAAATGTCAATATACTTGTACTGTTCCATTATACTGTCAATAAAAACAAGATTACCAACTCTAGCGGACGACATACACCCCCATACCATAACTCCTCCTCCACCATGTTTTACTGTTGGCACCAAGTTCTGTTTGCGAAATTCTTCCCTGGGGTTTCTGCACACCAAGATTCTACCGTCAGAACCAAATATATTAAATTTACTCTCATCAGCAAATATAACTTCATTCCAGTAATCAGAATTCTTATTTATGTTGGATTTTACGAAAGCCAGTCTGAGTTTTCTATTCTTTTCACTTACGAAGAATTTTTTCCTAGCTGCTCTACCATGATATCCAGTAGATCGAATTACTCTTCTAATAGTCTCAGAATTAACAATTACTCCATATAATGCTTGTAAATCAGCAGCAACTTTAGGAGCACTCATTCTTGGATTTTTTTAAAATATTTCGAACGATAATTCGCTTTATTCCATTGGATAGCTTTGATGCTCAGCCAGGTCTTCTTTTATCCTGAATCATATGATTCTTTTTATATAGTTTAATGATACTGAAAACTGTTGAATGACTGAAGTTAACTGTTTCAGTAGTTTCTCTAATAGATTTTCCATGTTCAATATGCAAATTAATAACTAATTTTTGAATTCCAGGCAAAGTTTCTTTTCGTTTAGCATTCATTGCTGCACAGAGCTAAAAAACACAAAAATTCCAAAACAAACTGGAGAGAAATACTGCAGACGATTTTATAAATATTGGCAATTGCTTTTGAGTAAAAATAAATACCCCAAAAGATATTTTTATTGCTTACTTCAGACGATTTTGTTGCATAGTACGTAGTGTCCCATCACTTAAGTGAGCCATTTTCTGCTCCGTTCTAAACAATTGTATTTTTATTAAATTAATATTTTAATATTTTGAGAAAATGTATGTTATGTAATAATTGTTACTAAATTTAAGTATGAAACACACCCACAAAAAATTTTACGTTTTTTAAATTTATTTTATTGCAGTTTCCTTTTGTAAAGCACAAGTGTCCCATCACTTTTTTGAGACACTGTATGTAATTGAGTGACAATTTCAGTAAAAATTTTATCTCGAAAATTTTATTTTTAGGAATAAAATTATATTAAAAACCGCTTATTAAATTTTAATTTATCTCTTAACATTTAATTTTAATTATTTAATTATATAATAGTTATTGATTAAATAACAATTTATAAACATTAATTAAATAGCTGTAAATTAATTTGATAATAATTAACTATTTAATTTTAAAATCATTAATGAGTTTCATAGTCATTTTATTTATTTATTTACTCTTGTTCCTCTTTGCTGACGGTCTTCCATAGGGCTCCGGTACTTCTAATTTTAGAAATTAAGCCCTGCTAGCATGTTAAGTATGCTTTAAAGTTTCCAGTAATACAGTTCATAAAATTATATCATCTTAATTGAAGAAAATACATATCATGACAGAGTTATGTGTACAGCTCAGAAAGGAAATTATCCAGTACAAGAACAAAAAGTATACTCTGCATATGTCTGTGTTTTAAAACTTTTCATAATAAAATCAACTTCTAAATCACTATACAAGAACCTTATATGCTCATAATGCATGAAAGGTAACATTATTAATTCAAATACTTATTTTGTATTCGTAAAATATAATAATCTGATTACGAGAAGAAATAGTAGAGATAAAAATATTAGTATAAAAATTAGTATGTCAACTCACATAAATGATTTATGTGCTTTACCCATAACACATTTAAGTCTGCAAATGTAGTCAAATTTAGCAGTACCATATACTGTTTACTTATCCAATGCTTTGTGATGTTACATTAAATTTAAGTAATTTTAGTTATGATGTGAAGTATGCAATGCAAACAATTTCATTACTTTGTTTGTTTAGTTGATTATGTTAAAGAACACTACGGCTGTCTGTCCAAGGGAAGCGATGCCTTCATAAAGGACTTTCTAATGGAAGCTGGCTCATATACATGTTAGGCATAAGGAAAACTATGAAAATGCCCATTTGCCTGAAATCAAGCCCAGGTTGGACCACTCAAGCACTGGTGGACCCCCTTTCATTAGAGACAGATCTAAAAATGTTTACAGGTTTTTGACATTTAATAAAAAAATATGCATAAAAGGATATAAATTACAAATATGCAAAGGGACCTAAATTGATTTTATCATCTTACAGTAATTTTTGTACTCAAGCGCTTGAATACTGGACCTATTACTGAAAACTGGATTTTGAAGAGCTATGCCTTCACCATAACTCAAATGCAGCCCTTGATGCACGGCTAAATGTTTAAAAATATTTTAGCATTATACACTGAAAATTATTATTTATAACACAATTTATGCCATCAATTAACTGAAACCTATGAGATTATTGTTGAGTACCATTAACAGCATCAGATAAGAAAATAAAATTGTGCTAATCAGATTCTAAATCAAATTGAATAGAACGTACTTTTACGCCATAATAAACCAATTAATATGTTGAATTCATTTAATCTATACATAAAAAAATCCATTTAAGAAAACTTTATCGACATCAAATGGCATTACTTTTGCTTTACACGAACACCATGAAATTTCATTAACTGATCCAAGCTTCTTTTTCATTTAAGACACTGGCAAAGGTGTAATACTTACATTAAATTTTTTAGACTTAAATAATTATCTAGCTGGATAAATAGACGATTTGTGGACTATGATTCTCAAAATTTAATGAAGCCCATAATGTATTAATCTGCAAGTCTTCAGATTCTAAGAAAATAGACTTTTTAGGAATGTTTTTGGAAAGGTTCGTATAACAGTACGAGAAATTTCTTTTGGTGAGCCTCTAATAATGAAAAGTAGTTATTTCTATGTTTTATAAATAAATAGGAAATTAAATTTTTGAACTAAGTTAATAGCGTCAGAAATTATATCAAAACAGAGAGTTTTCTCAAAATTTTAAATATTTCTTATCATCTTGAACAATTTACAGCATAAACTACAGAAATATTCTTTTTGATTCTACCGTAATTTGCATGAGAATTTCTTCTTACAGTAATTTTAAACTCAACGTGTTAGATCATTTCTGAATCACAATCTCTGTTTCATGAAATACAACCTAAAAATAACACTTTAAAATTTATTTGGAAAAATAAACCTAATATACAAGAGATTACTTTTTTTTTTTTTTGTTTTTGTTTTATAATCTTCAATAATTTATATTTCTTTATAAAATAACAGCAACTTCCCGCTTTTATTTACTTTTCTGTTACACAGTAGTATTGCCAAATCAGTGAATCGATTTCTTTACGTTTTATGAAAATCCCTGTAAGAAGCACTTTTTTTTTTTTTTTTTTTTTCCAATAATTTAAAATGGTACTTTGAAGAATGGTAAAAGTAAAGTAAGCATCTAGTAGTTGTCAGAAGATTAAGTGAACACATTTTACAAGAAAACGTGAAAATGGCCGGTTATCGAGACTGTGAATTTCGTCTGTAACATTTTGGGCACTAGTCTGGACACCGTCAAGAATCGCAACTCGTCTTTATGCGACTCGTTCTACTCAACGAAGAGCGAGTCTCCGATCATCAGAAAGATCCGACTCGTCGGAAATTTTCCCGTCAGCTGAGTAGCTGTTGGTTTTGTGACTGGCATATAAATAACATTCTCAAAAGAATCATGCACTTCTAACAAAAACACATTATGGCAATATACAGAAAGAAAACTTTATTAAAGAAAATCAGTCATGGGTAGAATAGACTTTAAGGTAAATCTTGGGTAGAATAGACTTTAAGGTAAATCTTGGGTCAAAAATCTTGGGTAGAATAGACTTTAAGGTACCCCTTGTATTATGGTGAGGTTGTTGTTTGATTTATCGCCAAGTTGTTGTTTCATTTATGGTAGCCTGAGTAGTTGAATGTTATAGAAACCTTATTGTGACGTAATCGGGTGCAGGATTCTGGGAAATTTTGAATTATGGGATGTTTTGTAAGGCCGATGCTATTCGCACCACCATTAACCACACATGCGCATTGAATTGTCAGATCTGTAACGGATTCCACGTACGCGAACTGCCCGAAAGTCGGGTTACTACCTTGGCGTAGTTTATCATTTTTTAAGCTTTGGCGACTTTCAAAAGTTTAGAAAGGAAAATGGGTTCCTTTTCTTATAAAAAGAAGAAACATTTCTTTTTTATTAAAGTATATATTAAAAAGAGTAGATTTTTATGTTCGCAATGTTTATCGTTTTCCTGAACGGTTGGAATAGTTTAAATGACTGATTTGGGGGGGGGATCTTGTTTACATTTTTTGTACTTCTTAGAATACATTTAGCTTCAAAGATGTGTTTTGCGCATTCAAGACTTTAATGCATTCTTCTTTGAAAATTTTCGTCCGAAAAAAGATAATAAAAATTAGACAGAAGATTTCTGTGTAGAGAATTTAGACATAAGACTTAAAAGCGATTAAATCGACTATTAAATTAATCATATAATACTGGTTATTGACAAATTTTTTTATGGAAGTACTTGGCATTTTCAGGACACAAAAAGTACTTCAAAGTACTTTGAAATATTAGTACAAATACATTAATAAATTAAATTGAAATAAATAATGAGATGTAATTTAAAAGACAGAAATAATTTAATGTAAGAGTTTTAGATTTAAAAATTTGCACACACAAATGATTTATCAGATTTTATAAGGTTTTATTTCATAAATAACTTTGATTTTGAATATGGCATTTTAACCTATAAACATGAGTGGATACTGAAAAAGTGATGAATATATAAGAATATTATAATTTTCGCTCAGTTTTTCTTATTGAATAATAATTCTGACAGTTCAATGCTATAAGACTAGGGTCTAAGTTTGCATAAAAATTTCTCTGTTAAGTAAAATAATTTAAGTAATTTCTGTAGCCTTTTGGTCAATACGTTAAAGATTTTTTAACTAATTACACATCCTCTCTTGCTATTAGAACCATCATTAAATCCCTATATTATCTAATCATTCCCTGAACATTATCATGTATATAGATTGACTTCGCCTTTGTAACCGATAATTATTACTTTCAAATTATTCTCTTGCTGGTTAAGAATTAACAGCCCTTCCTATTGCTGAGTTAGGGTTAACATTCTTCGCTCTCGCTACCGCCTACCTTACGGAAATCGGCGTAAAATACTGGTACCGGGGCTGATTGTGCGCATGCGCGAACGTAGGCCTTTTTAACTATTCACACCGGTGCGATTAGCCACTGCGGTTTTGTAAGCGTTTTTGTGGTGTGTGATGGTTTTATTCTTTAGGCCGAATGTAGTAAGATTAATTTGAAGTTTCTGTACGATTTGGAGCGAAAGGGAAAAGAGCTTTAATTGACTGGTGTGTAAATGAAGGTTTACTTAGTAGCTATTATAAGTGTCCTGTATGTAGAAAGGATATGCGTCTAGTCGAACGTAAAAACCGTTTAGATGGATTTGAATGGGTTTGTAGGAAGAAAGGTTCAGATGGTCACTATGTGAAGCTTTCGATCAGAAAGAGTACCTGGTTTGATAAAAGTCATTTGAGTATGATTGATATTTTGATTTTTACGTGGCTCTGGGTGTACGAAGCGACCTCGAAAATCATGGTAAGTGAATATTTGCTTTTGGTAGTGCTTAAATGTTTAACATGTTTTTCCTTTTTTATGTTATTTTACTGTTTGCTTTAAAATGTATTTTATTGAGATTATGTATTTTTTGTGTGCCTATATTGTAGAACTTGGTGCTCCTTTGACATTTTAAGTGAAAATATATCGATGTGTACATGGACAACGTAAAGGGAGTGCGCAATGCAAGTTTGTGCAATTCTGGGATTTTTTTAAGTGAAAATAGGTGGACGTGTACATGGCCGTGTACGTGTCAAAGAGGTGCGCAATGCCATTTTTGTGCAATTCGGGTATTCTTTTAAAGTGAAAATAAGTCGATGTGTACATGGATACCGAGTTGTGCAATTGTTTGTCTTGTTATTTTGGCTTCATGTAGCGGCGATTTTTGGCGTAAAAAATAACCAAATAAACGCAAACCAAAATAACGAGTCAAATAATTGCACAAAATCGGTATCCATGTACCGCCAAAAATCGCCAAGGGGTACCCTAAACTATACTTTTACCCAAATCTTACCACATTCTACCAAACCATAACAAAAAAATCTCTCAATTCCAGATACATTTTTAACTCATTCTTTTTACAATTTAATATCAATGTTGCCAATATATTAAAACTTAAAATTATACTTTATAAACAAATACTATCATTCCCCCCCCCTTATTTGTATTTAAAGATACAGTTTTAATCAGTCAGTCATGTCCATACTTTAATATCTCATCTTTCAAATTCACCCTAGGTAGATACTTTGTTAAAATATCCGCTTTGTGATTTTGTGAACACACAAACTGAGGAATGATTTGATTCATTTCATATTCATCCTTTACAAAGAACTATTTTCTATCAATGTGCCTTGAACTGCTACTTTGTTTTGAATTTTTAATCCAATTTATTAATGCTGGACAATCTGTTTTAATTTCTATTGGTTTGTCAATTAGATCATCTTGACCCAATTCTTCAAGTAAAAAGATGCACCATTTAACATCACATGCACATTCACAGAATGCTAAAATTGCAGCTTCCATTGTAGATAAAGCAACTATTCTTTGTTTGTTGCACTTCCAATTTATGAAATTTTTACCTAATTTAATGAAATAACCTCCAAATGATTTTCCATCTTCAGTGGTACAGTCGGTCGCAAAAGTCGAACACCGGTACCCTATCAGAAAACGACAAGATGGCTTTCTCTCTCTCTCTCGTGTTATTCCATCCTAGGTTTTCTTCTTTCCCCATCTTGGAAAAAACTGAAAAATTGTCACGATCTCTCTTTGAATTTGGACGCCATTTTGAGAAAAGCGGACGACCCCATCTTGGAGAACGGAAATGACCGCTCTACACCCTCTCTCTCTCTCTCTTTGAATTGGCAAGCCATTTTGGGAAAAAGCAGACGACCCTATCTTGGAGAACGGAAATGAACGCTCTACACCCCCTCTCTCTTTGAAATGAGAAGCCATTTTGGGACCCTCTATTCTTGGGAAAAAAACTGAAGTCTGCACCCCGCTGTCTTTGAATTCGAAAAGCCATTTTAGGAAAAGCGGACCCTCTCATCTTGGAGAACTGGAAATGAACACTCTACAGGATCACTCTCTCTCTTTGAATTGGGTAGCCATTTTGGGGGATCCCCCTAACCTTGGAAAACTGAAATGAAGGCTCTACACTCTCTCTTTGAAGTGGGTAGTCATTTTGGGACCCCCTAACTTTGGAAAACTGAAATGAACGCTCTACACAATCTCTCTTTTGAAATAGGTAGCCCTTTTAGGACCCCCCTAACCTTGGAAAAACTGAAATGAACGCTCTACACCATCTCTCTTTGAATTGGGTAATTAGTTTGGGATCCTCTCACCTTGGAAAACTGAAATGAACGCTCTACCAGTGGCGTAGCGAGGGGGGCAAGGGGGTGCATGATGCCCCGGGCGCCGCTCGTAGAGGGGCGCCAAATGTTCTCCAAACAAGATTTTCCGGAAAATTTCAGTTTTTATTTTGATCGATTTCTAGAAAATATATTTTAAATTAATAACTATTGTAATATAATTAATTATTTATCTTCTTGATTTGTCTGATAAAATGTGTAATAAAATGTCTGCAGTACATCAACCAAAACGTTTTTCCTGACCACTTTATTTCTCCAAAGTAGAGATATTTTTATTTTTTTTTAACAAAATGCACGTATATCCCCCGCTTTTTATTTTAAAACGATAACACGACCTTGTCCCGAATTTTTCAAACACATCCAGTTTCCAAAATCCGATTCCATAATCTGCAAATGACATTTTGGGAAAATCCTAAAGCTTCCGTTACAATGGATTACGTTTGACTCTCATGTAAACGACTGATGGCCTTCCTGGCTAACGATTCAACTAAGTCATCTTGCTGAAACATCGTATATTCACTGCTACGAAGCATTCAATGCATGTCAATTGTTTTTAATCTCCTATTACAAAAGGAACACTGCAGGTCGCTCCTTACTCCTTATCTAAAACGCATAGTTTTCCACGTCACAGACTAAATTTGCATATTCCCAACTTGTAAATGTTATAATTTTCCTTTATAATCGCTTCTATTTCCTTTTTGT